ACGAGTTTATCTGAACTCATAACTTTCGATACATAGTGTACTAGATATATTATATATATGTAAAAACCTATTAAAATCTCAACAAGTATTAGATTTGAACGCATAATTTTAATAGTACAATGAGTTCAATATACTGAGAATCTCATAATTTTAACCCATTAAATTCTGAATCCGCCTCTAATAATAGCAAACTTTGTCAAGACGTTCTGATAACATCTAAATTTAGTACTACTAAATTCTGAATCCGTCTCTATATTTAGTACTACTAAATATAGAAAGATGTCATTATTCTTGAGACTGACTAAAAAGAAAAGTGTACTGTTACAAATTAGGACGGAAGGAGTACTTGATTGAGAATTTCAGGAGGCTCAGTATAGGTAAGCGGAATAACTCTAGCACCAGCCATTTCAGCAAACTTGACGTATGAAGCGGCGATGTAAGAGAAGTCGGTAGCGTTGCTGAGGCGGCCCCACGCGCCGTCGCCGGGAAGTCTAACAATTCCGATGACCGGCCGGTAATTTAGTGTAGGATTAGATGCAAGATAGCTAAGACAAGTCAATTGAGATTTTGCAGTTTGAATGATAATTGTAAATAGGGAAATTCAAAAGTAGGTTCCCATTTGGATTGAGAAGATAGTGAATGATGTTATTAGGAGGAAGAATTGGTTTTCTCCTTCCCTCAGCCTCTAAATAGGAAAAATATAGGATATATATATATAAAAGAGGGACAAAGAGTGCTGACATGACTTCTCTCATAGACACGGAAATGTATTTATCTATTTTGTTAATTTTTTGGGTTTTTCCTCTCTCAACTCACAACAATATCCATTTTTAAATTCAAAAAATTAAGACCGGAAAGGAAAATCATTACTTTCAACCGTTACCACATTTCTTTACACCAACAGTTACAAACCTATGCCTCTTCTCAATGAGATGTGCAGAAGTTGAAGAGTCACCTACCTAGGTAACGACAGAATTCTTCACATTATTTCATTACTATTATACATTACTGCAAGATTTCGTTAAGGTTATATTGGGTTGTTATAATGGATCGGAGGACAATAATTATGTAATTTTCATGTTTCAGGCTCCTAAAATTTCCTTTGCAGATCGTTACTTGCATATCCAGTTCTACCTAATACAAATACTATATCTCTAAAAGATTCCAAATATTCCATTCATCCAAGGATATTATCCTTGCCACAAATCTATCTCTTGGTGACTTTATTGGAGGATATTATCATTGCCACAAATAGCCCAATAATGGTTGAGGCACTCTATATGGGGTGTGTTCCAGTACTCCAAGAGGATCATTATGTGGTTTTATTTATTGATTTTTTGAAAACGTTTTTCTCTTGATATCCCCATGTAAGTTTTTCTTAATCTCAACAAAATCTTGAGTGCAATACCTCAAAAATGGTATGTGCACTAGGAGGCAAAAATTAGGTTCTTGAAAATAATAAAAAGGAGGCACTTTAAGGTAAACTTTCCTCCTACGAGATATATTGTTTTTCTTATTCATAATTTAATCATATTCCTCAAATTATCCGTAACAAAAAAAAGTTGTTTATTATTGATTCCACTCTTCTCATCTCATTTCCTTATACGTTGAAAAAGAAACATGTTTTATACATATATATAATGGCACAAAAACGATTAACTTCATCTATTGACAGATGCTTTTCAGCGGCGTATGAAATGCGTAGTTAATTTGTCATTTTAGATGAAGAGATATAATAGTAGAATATGAAGGAAAGAAGAATATGGCTAGTTGATTTGTGATTTTAGAGCTAAAATTATGGGTTTTGAGTTGCTGGGACTGAAATTGGAGGAAAAAACAACGTGTAAAGATATACAAAAGAAATTAGTTGAAACTAAGAAATTCAATACCATCAATGACATGATACATTTTAATTGATTTTTTGTTTTGTTTCCTTTCCTTTTTAGTTTTTCTTTTTAATAATTTGACAGAAAACAAAGACTGTCAGCCTTGCTTTAAAACAAAATTCTGAAATAGAGGACCTTAGAATAAGAAGAAGAAAAGCTGGAGGCATCTCATGTTTATCTCGGGGATTAGAGTTGTATTTACTCTTAAGCCACTGTTTAAAATATATTTACTTTTTAGTCAGTGCTTTACTAAAATTTTACCCGCCCTGATAAAAATACCCAAGTGCTAGACATGGTGTCCTTAACTTCACAAGTGTTGTGTAAATATTAAGGACAAAATTTCCTGAATTAAGTAGCACCTTCTGTTTTACACTTTAGGACATCTTGTCCTTAACTTCATATGTGCAGTGTAAATGTTAAGGACATGGGTTCCTTAACGTTATGTGTGTTGTGTAAATATTAAGGACATGGTGTCCTTAACTTCATGAGTGTTGTGTAAATATTAAGGACAAAGTGTCTTGTATGTGCACCTTCTGTTGTTAAACTTTAGGACATCATGTCCTTAACTTCATGAGTGTTGTGTAAATATTAAGGACAAAGTGTCTTGTATGTGCACCTTCTGTTGTTAAACTTTAGGACATCATGTCCTTAACTTCATATGTATAGTGTAAATGTCAAGGACATGTTGTCGTTAACTTCATGTGTGTAGTGTAAATGTTAAGGGCATAACGTTCTTAACTTCATGAGTGTTGTGTAAATATTAAAGACATGGTTTCCTTAACTTCATGAGTGCTGTATAAATTTTAAGGACAAAGTGTCATGTATTTGCACCTTCTGTTGTTAAACTTTAGGACATCATGTCCTTAACTTCATGACTGTTGTGCAAAAATTAAGGAAAAAATGTCCTTAATATTTACACATCACTCATAAAATTAAGAATACCGTATCCTTAATATTTACATAGCACTCATGAACAAAGGGTAAAATTATCTTTTCATATTAATTTAATAGAGTTGTGGCTATTTTTGTCATTTCTACGTTTATCTCCCCAATATTTTGCAGTACTACTATCATTTCTCTTTTTCATAATTTTTATTTTTTGTTTTTATTCTCAAGGAGTACCGAGTTGGATGGGGATTTAATGTATTTGGTTCTTCGGCCAAGAATATTTACAGATCTTTGCCAATATGTATATAACAGGTTAATTATATTTACATATATACCTTTGTCGGATTTATTTTGGGCATATGGCTATTTAAGTTACTTTCTTGATTTATAAATGGGTTGTTTCAACTTTTATATATAACCTGGATTATAATTTCATATATTATCTCCGGCAAAATAAAAAATTTAATGAGAATTTAAAAGAATCCAAAAAGATGGTAGTCCCTTCAAAAGTTTTCGGGTGAGTAAAAATTGATCTTTCTACTAAAAAGTATGAGATTAGTCTTCGGTCATATTTTGATATTTTAGATGAACGCGTGAAGCGCGGACAATTACACTAATAATAAAATATATAGGGTCAACGGGAAGATTATGCATGTGAAATTAGCTTCTTTACATGCAGTAACAATGCGTAACAAATACGAATTGATAATTGAGAAAAATAATACATAAATATACTGTAACGTAACTAAGATGGATATTACTTAAATATACCCACGTTGAATTGTGATCCATACTTAAGGATACAATTTCATGAAAATATACATCATTTTGTCCCCAAATCGTAAGAGAACTATATCAAATTGGTCACCATTATTGCTGTTTCTTTCTTATTCTCCTTATTCTTTCTTTTTCTCTAGTGGCCAGATGTTGGAACCTCAGCAATTAAAATCCAGGACACAAGCCTGAAGTTTGAATTGTACAGTTTGGACTTCATTACTGTGTCCCTGTAAGTTTGAATTGGAAAACTGAGCTTAAGAATACAACATCCTGAAGTTTTGAACCAAAAAATTAAACTTAAGGATACAATATCGATTTTTTGAACTAAAGAACCTGAAATTAAGGACATAATTTCCTGAAGTTTTGAAATAAAATTGAACACAAGGACACAATATCTTGAAGTTTTGAAATGAAAAACTAAAGTGTCCTAAATTTCGAGCAAGCGGAGAAGAAGAAGAAAAAATATTTGCCCATTAAATAATTTGTAATAGCTGGCTAAGACGTAAACACATGACCCTCGTTAAGAAAGTGTGAATGTCGAGTAGTAGGGTTGAAGGCTGACAAGTAGTCGAGAGTTACTCCTAGTCTTTTTAGTAGTACTCGTACTATTCTTGTATTTTATTTATTGAATCTTTATTATTAAATGTTGTGTTGTTTGCTTTCGTTTTCCTATTACCGTGTTGTTGCTATTGATTATTGCTTTCTTTTAATTATTTTTTGAGTCGAGAATCTATCGAAAATAACCTCTCTATCTTCACAAGGTAGGTATAATGTTTGCGTATATATCACTCTCCCCAGACCCCCACTTGTGGGATTACACTGGGTTTGTTTGTTATTGTTGGCTAAAACGTAAACAACTATCCTAAAAGTGGCTATCTAGTGCCATTTCCATTGCCACCCCAAAAAGGCCATGTGTGCAGATGACCCGAAGATTAGTTAAAAGTTGGGTGAAATTAAAAAATAGCCAGTGGTAATTGAAAAATAGCCACAATTTCAAAAGTAATCGAAATTTAGCCACTTTTCATGTAAAGATAAATTTGAACGAAAACACTATTTAAAATCCGGAAAATATTCCAGCATAATATACTGGAGTTCGAATTTTTTACATGTGAACTTCTAACATAATATACTGATACTGGAACTCCATCATAATATACTGGAATTCCAGCATAATATATTGGTTCAGCATAATATACTGGAAGTTTATACACAGGTGCTTTAATCTCCAGTATATTATGTTGGAACTTTTTATGTGCTAGAGTTCCAGCATGAAGTTCATAAAATCTCCAGTATATTATGCTGAAAATTTTTGTGTTGCAGCAAAATAGTAGCTATTTTTTAATAACTTTAAAAATACTGGTTATTTTTTAATTATCAGTCCGAAAACTGACTAGTCCGTTCTATTTTTACGTTAAAGAAACCAAAGCCCAACTAAGACGCAAACGAGAGTCGGCATTTGCTAGCCATAGTCGTTTTACTGCTAAAACCCTCTAATGGTAGAAACCCCTCTTCCCTCACTGCCCATCCATAGTTCACTGACACTGACCAAATAACCAGAACCCACAAATGATATTCGTCAGAAAATTCAATTCTTGGTACTTCTTACAAATTCTTCAACTCCATAAACCTCCCTTAAACCCTATAGCCTCAACAATATTGAACTCTTCAACCCCATATCAATCTGCACAATTTTCATCATCTCTTTTGAGACCCTTTTCCGTTTCAGCTCAGTCTCAACAGAAAGAATCAACCAATTCAGAAATTGTATCCAAAAAGAAACACAAAAAACCATTGGGTGTTTTCTTTCAAGAAGCTGTTGGACTCTTAGAAAAGTCTGAACAATCAGAAAAAAGTGAGGATGAAACTGAAACCGAAAGCGAAATCAAGGTGCTGAAGTGTAAATTAAGAAACTTGGAGGAAGAAGTGAGGATTTTGCTTGAGAAGAAGAAAAATGAAAAAGCTAATAGGAAGGAGGAGGATGATAAAATTGGTAATGGGGTGTGTGAAAATGAGGGAAAGAGGACAAATTTGCATGAATTATTTGTGAATGAGGAGGGTAAGAATGTAAAATCAAGTAAGTCAACGCCGTTGACTGTGGAGGCTAGAAGTGGTAATTGGGTGTGTGAAAATGAGGGAAAGAGCAAAACTTTACATGAATTATTTGTGAATGAGAAGGAGAATAAGAGTGTAAAATCAAGAAAGTCAACGCCGTTGACTATGGAGGATCATAATGTGTACAAAGAACTTTCACCTGATATGGTGATGTTTGTGACACATTTATACAATGAAGGGTACTTTAAAGATTCAAACTTTTTGCCTAGGAAGAGGTTTGACATTACTTGTTTTGAGAATAGCTATGCCCGCGATTTTGTAAAGTACGCAGCTGAGCAGTTTGGTAGAGATCACCAAGAGATTGCTAAGTAAGAATCAAACTTTAGTTACATTTACCCGTTTTTCCATATTGATTGCGATTAGTTTTCTGCCAGTTATGTTTGTTTATTGAAGTTTATCATTTTCTAATTTGTGTTTTTTTGATCAACCAAAATATTTCAAGAATAACATCTTTGACAGAATTCAGTTTGCTAATTAGTGGGGAGAACAATAGTTTTTGTAAACTGAAACATTGCTTATGTTGCAGTGTTTAGAAATATGTCATTCTTTCGGATATCTCAAGTATAGGAAAATGTCGGCAGACTTCAGCACTTCTCATCATAAAATGCAAAGAGTCATAGATGTTTGCCGACTTAAGCGATACGATTAGTAGAACGTTTTATCCCTGCCCCAGCTTCTTCTACATGTGCGGAAAAGGAAAAGGAGAGAAAATGCTCTAAGAAATCATCACATTGTCCAACATATAAGAATTCATCTTACGCAGCTGTCCTATATTGAACAGCTAAGAATGCCTCCCTTTATAGAGAAAATTGTCTAGCATAAATCTTTAGCAGATATAATAGCCTTAAGAATACAGAAGGCTTTAGGGGACAGTGTCTAGTGGAAGAATCATCTCTTCTCTCTGCTCAATTTACTTCACTGCTCTAATAATGCTAATTGCGTATGTTAGAATTCCTTACTCTGTATTATCCCCTACAAAATGCTGTTTTACAATGTACCGGAGGTCTCTTCAGTTATAAATGCTGACTCCTCCACCTTCCAAATCTTGCACTCATATTTTGATTCTTGTGTTTCTCACATGCTCTCTACGACAAATTGTATACACCTAATTCTCTGCCAATTGTTGAGAATAAACACAGTGGTTCAACATAGACCAATCCGTATTGCACTATGCTTTCCGTTGTAGGATTTCCAACTAGGACTACTTTCAAGGTAACCTTTTTAAAGCAAGCTATCAACATATGGAATTTGTGTTTCCAGTAAAATTCAAGGTGAAAAATCTTTTTAAGCTTTCTTCATGCTGAACTTTTCAATAAATGATCTGTTTACTATTAATTAAAAGTGAAAATTCCATTTCTGTACAATTACAAACTAAGCCGGTAAGCTCAGTGTTAGCCAGTTTAGACTAAGGATATCTAGGTGGGATTGAAGAGATCAGATTCTGATTACCTTATAGAACATGACAATGAGCAATTTCAAAGACAAATCTATCAATTCCAGGAGTGTAGGACTTATAAATTTTTTATTGTCTTGGGATCTGGACTGGTTTCACTGAATTTTAATTTCAGATGTGCACATGTTTCCTTTTTAGTCCTTTTGTTTTTCTTTCCTTTTCTTGTCTAGTGGTTATTACTTAGTAGATAGTGACAAAAAGCTTGTTATCATAGTAATAGGGAGAAAGGTAAGGAGGAGATTAATACATAAAGAAGAGTTATCAAAGGAAAAGTAATAATGAGACGATATCAAAATATAGATGTACAAGAATCAAATGAGACTTTAATTTGACAATTTGGTCTTAGGGCCTTGACCTTAACCTAGGCGAAGTGCTCGTTGGCCCCCACCAGTTTCATGTTCTTATTTCGTTTTTTATTTATTACCATCGCACTAACTATCCAGAAACAAAATATCAGGGGAAATACTTGATGCAAGTGAATATAAACGGGGAAAGTTAGTGTACTATTGGGGTGTTTTTTCTCTCACTTAACATGTGTGAGTGTTTTTCTTGTTTGATAAGTAACGTGTGTGAGAGTATGTTACACACATTATGGTCATTTTTCTTTTTGGTTCAAACTTCAAGAGGTATTGAGTTATGATGTTTGTTCAGACATTTTTCTTCTTTTGGTTTAAATACTACTTTATATCCCCTAGCTTTCTTCATTCAGATCCTTAATCTATTGATTTGGTTGTTCAGATGGTTGTCTGGCAGTGACTTGAAAAAGGTGGCCCTTTTTGGTTGCCCTTCCATTGCAAAGAAGACTGTTTTTTCTGCTAAGAGGTTGCGTACATATTTCAGAATTCAAGAAGACAATGTAACTCTCTTTTTCCTTGGATATTCTCAAAATTCTTCCCGTCTTCTTCCCTATTCCCCGTATGTGCTGAAATGTTACGTGCTTATTTCAGGTATGCAGCAAATGTGCCTTAAAAGCGTCATGCAAGTTTGTGAATCAGAGTGTGTGGAAAGGCGATATGACTAATTTACACTTGGCTGTTGTAATGAGGGTTATTACTTTGTATGCGTTGGAGTCAGTCCCACCGCAGTTAGTAATACCAGATGAAATAAAGGCTTCTGTCAGTCGATTGCTGAAGGACATTGTGAGACTTAGTCAAACTGTGTCTTAGCACTTCTTCAGAATCAGACGAGTTGATCAGCGTACAGGTAGTCTAATTGTTGATGATGTGCTATATCCTGGTCTTGCTAGTTCTATGCCTGGTCGCACTATATTATGTCGTGCTTATTTTACGAAGTGTAACAAAGTCAAATATTCTTGAAAAGCATGAATTTTCCTTGATCTAAGGCCCAACATTTTTAACAAGACTGCATTCAGCCTTACAGAAAATGTATTATGACGGTCAACTGAAAACCGAAGTGTAACGAAGTCAAATATTTGCGTTTGCAGGAAGTATATCAAAAGGTCTCTCATTGAATATACAATAGTAACAATTTTTCTTTTCAGGTCCCTTCTTGTTTTTTTTTTCATTAATGTGGTGCTTATGCTTTCCTCATTCGAGGGTCTATTAGAAACAACCTCTCTATCTCCACAAGGTAGGGGTAAGGTATGCGTACACACTACCCTCCCCAGACCCCACTATGTGGGATTATATGTTGTTGTAACAATTACTTATCTATTTTGAACCTGGAATAATTGCTTGAACGTTTGTAGATGCTTCACCATTGTGTTAATTTCTATTATAAGTAGTAGATGACAATTTGGCCTCTTTTTGCGTGATCAGCAATAGGAATAAACTGATGGAGAAAGCATGTCAATATTCCATGCCAAAACTAAGTGGCAGTTCCCTAATATATGAACGATTTATAAATACATTGCAAGTAAATAGAGTCCATCTCGAGGTTTTTGAGACAGAATAAACGGAGTGATTAGCATTAAACCTTCCTTTGTTAGAAATTTGTTTTACTTTTACAGGCTTACAATGGATCATTTTGATGAAAACATATACTGAGAAAACTGTCATGACTTTTTTTTATGTCCTTTTGTTTTGTTTTGACGGTGTTATCCGGGCTATTTTGTACCCACCTCGACCATTCACCGCGTACCTGTTCTCTCCTGTCAATATAGGTACCTGGTAACTCTGTTTTTTCTCTATAAATGCTTAAAAGCTATACCTTCTGGGGAAACACTGAAAAAAACTTAGATTCTGCACTTTTGGTTGAAATCCAGTGACAAGAGGGATGCTTTTGGCTGCTGTCTGAACAAAGCGTAGCGGCTGGCATTTGAATATCAGCATGTTTGGATAGCTTGAATTGGCTGTCACTTTGCCATCTGCAGACAAGCATTCCACTCATTTGTTAGAGACGCGAAGGTAGTAATCGGGGAAGGAGAGACCCCCAATTACAGTAGAAGATATGCATCAACTGGCGTGGTTTAACGGTCAACGAAATGAGTGGAAATTATTGGTAATTTCTTCACATTTGTCTAAGCGTTGGTGAATAAAGTTAGCTAGTACTTATGCTATACTAGATAACAAGTACCTAGTGGAACACGACTGTCCAAGCTGGCAGAACACCACTATTATGTATATTTTGAAAAGAAAAAAAACTCGGGAGAAGATGTAATGGGGACAGAGAAATAGGACTATTTTGGCACAATTGAAAACTTAGTGAACTCAAAGGACATCAAACCTAATCAAGATTGTGTGCAGAGTCTTGCAAGCCTTTTCTTTAAATTGTCTTAAAGTAAAGCTAGTTTGTGAATTTGGTAATATATGAAAATTCCTACCACTAGACTCATTTGAAATCCAACTAATTTAAGCATCATTACTGCAACAAAAAAAAATGCAGTGATATGGATATGACACCTTTATGATATAGAGAAAGGGTAGTCCGGTGCACTAAGCTCCCGCTATGCGCGGGATCCCGGGAAGGGCCGGATCACAAGGGTCTATAGTACGCATAGATTGTTTACACGGCTTAAACCCATGACCTCCTGGTCACATGGCAACAACTTTACCAGTTACGCCAACAATTTTTCTTTTAACTATAATTTTCTACATAGAGAGTCCAACAATTTTTCTTTTAACTATAATTTTCTAAGCATTTTCTAAATATCTCTTACTACTAAATACTGCAACTTATCATACCCTTTGGATAGGTCTAATATATGTAAATTTTATTTTTTTAAAATAACAAATATTAATATTTGAATTCACACTGAAAAGTTAAATACGTTGATCATCCAACTTAGACTTCGGTTGTTCTTTCTGAAACAGTGGGAGTACATAAAATAAATTTAGATCAACGTTAAAATTTTGTATCATTCTCCACCAATCAGTTTTTACTTCATAAAGGCATGTGTGAGGAAAATAATAAGGTTCCTGATCTTTACTACAAAGAGATGCATTGAAATAATGTGTGATAATTGCAAAAAGAGAAAAGGGATTCAATTTTTTTTATAAATTTTAAACAATTATAAATTTGAAATAAGTGTTTCTTGTAAGGATGGATTTGTAATCTGAGAAAGTAAAGGTAATTACTTTTTTAAACTATACTCATTGTAAAACATTTTACCAATTAGTCTCCTTAATCCAAATTAAGCATGTTAATCGGGCCGGGCCAGCCCATTCACCGTCCGATTTGACCCGGTTCAGCCTGGTACGCTAGGGGGTGAGACGGGTTGGGGGGAGCCGGGCGGGAACGAACATATTTTGGTAACCGGTGCCCAGGAACCCGGTTAGCTCGGTTACCCTTTACTGGATTTTTACCGGGCTACAACCCGGTCCAGCCCGGTTACCGTTGTAATTTTTTTTTAATTTTTTGACCGTTGCCAACGGTCAAATTCAAAAATGACCGTTGGGCAACGACCATTTTTTGCAAAAATGGCGGCCTACCCCCTTAAGAAAACAGCCCCCACCGCTAATAATTGATAAATTACAATTTTAACCTTTTAAAAACTATAAATAACCCCCCTTCTTCTTCATTTTTTTCTCACAATTTGCTCTCTTACTACTCTAATTCTCTCTCAATTCTCTCTTGACAATATTGCTTATTGCTCTAAAATTCTCAACTACTTATTATTTCAAGTTTCATCAAATATTTACTTTAATCACTACAAAATTATAATGATCAAATATCAAGTATTCAAGTGAAGTGTGGTATCAATATTCAATATCATCAAATATCAAGTATCAGTCTATCAACTGAAGTTTGATATCAAATTTAGTGCGGCATCCGGAATCCCGGTACACTCGTTCCATCTCTTTCTCTTCTTGGTGTATATTTTTATTTTATTATTTAGAATTATTAATTTAATTTTTAATTTAATTTACATAATGGATATATTTAGAGCAGCCAAAAAAACGTGTACTGGTAGGGGTAGTAGTAGTAAGAGTAAAACTTCTAAAAAATCAAGAGGTGGTGCTAGTTCTTCTAGTAGCTTTACACATATTTATGAAAGTTCACCTAAAAATTTAAATGTAGATTATGAGCAACTTCAAGAAAATTATGGTATAGATGATAATTTAGATGATATTCAATCACCTGATAATCTTGAAACACCACCAGCTACACTTGGTAATGCTAGTCAAACTCAAAATACTAGGGGTGGAGGTCGTGGTAATACAGGTAGGCCTCCCCTCCCTATTAAGAGGAATCGAAGATTAAGAAGTAAGTGTTGAAATTATTTTGAAAGACTAGAAAAAGATAAAAATTATGTAAGATGTCAAATTTTTAAGAAAGTTTATAAACATGAGACCGGAGGTAAGGCAGGGGGAACGGGTCAACTTCGTAGGCACATGGTAGATAATCACCCTATTACATGGGGTGCTGATGAGGAAGGTGGGCAACAAAACTTAACCCGGGTTGTTACACCCTGTGTGTCCCAAGGTGACGTAATGAATATGAGACTTGTTAATCATTTTTAAGGTCAAAATATTTCTATATATGATGTTTGGATAGAAAATATGAAGTTTGAGAAAAATCGGATTAAAGTTGCGGAAAAACCGACTAAGGATTTGCCTTGTAATAGGGTTTTTTGAGAAATACATTTTATGTGTTATATGAGGTCTTTTTGGGACATATTATATACCAAATTGAAGGTCTTGGAATGTAGTTTCCAACGCTCTTAACCGTTTGTTCATACGATACCCGGATAAAAGGTTATAAGCGTTGGAAGAAGGACGGATGCTAGGGTGCCAAGTAGCACCTTTTGACTTTTCAAACAAAATGGATATTTATATCCTTATCTTATTTCTTTCTTCAATTTTCCAGAACACATAACCAAATAAGACCCCTAAATTTACTCTTAAGCTCTCTGCAAGAGCTTTAAACAAGATTATCATCCCAGGCGCGGAATCAAGAAACGATAACATTAAAACGATCCCTACGACGTAAGTATCGCTATATCGCCTCTCTTTTTCTTTGTAGTTTGAGTTTTGGAAGGTACTTCATAGTTAAGAAAACGTGTACTTTCTGTATTTAAGTGTTTAAATATCAAGGAAGGTTGATAAATTTATTTTCTAATAGCTAGAACTCACGGGACGGTGATCGGAAGCCGTGAGTTCGAGTTATTCACTTGTAGCGAACTGTTTTGTGGATTGTTTTTTGTTGATATTGGGCTGCGTATTTTACTACTATTTTGTGGAATTTTAGAGGAGTAAGGTTGTGGAGAAACACCACATAAATTTAGGGTGGTGGGATGGTCTTTCATCATAACATGTTCGGGCCGTTTGACACTACTACGGTGGTCGTTTTGTGTATGAAGAGATTGGGGTGTTTTGGGCTGTTTTGTAGTATTTTGTGGTGTATATAAGGTTGGAAAATAATTTATACATGTTGATATTGTTGTGTTTTGTGTTATCTTGAATTTGGAGGAAGTAAGGATTATAGGGAAGATGCTGCCCGTTTTAATACAAAATAAGTTTGTCGTTCGTTGTGCGATAGTTGTACCTTTCGTAACTTAATGATAGTATTATTATTGTTGTTGTAGATTAAAGTACGAAGAGTCGAGTTCAACTTGGTGATTGGAAATATTATGATAAGGTATGTTAAGGCTATTCATTCTTTCCTTTTTGGCATGATCCATATGATGTAAGAAATGAGCAAGTACGCAACTTTCACAAATAATTCTATTCCTAGAAGTACTAGGGTTGCCTATGTTCTTGATTCCCCATATGCTCTAATATCATATCGTCTGTTCATGGGTCTTATGATATTCCGAGAGATCTTATAGATTTACTTCCTTATGCATTGCATTCATTTATACATGTATATTGACCCATGACCATATGGCGTTATATACGCGTATATTATATGTATATGGGATATGAAAAAGGTTATGGCGTTATATATGCACCACCACCTAATCAGCTGGTATACGTTGATGATTTCGCCCACAGTGGCTGAGATGATATGATGGGATGCCCTCAAAGGCTTGATGATATTATGTACGCATATACTTATGCATGGTATGACATTTATACGCACATGCATGACATTATAAATATTTTCATGATTCACATAGTTATTCAGACTTACAGGTTGAGTTCTTTACTCCATGTTTCTTTCATGCCTTACATACTCGGTACTTTATTTGTGCTGACGTCCCTTTTGTCTGGGGACGCTGCGTTTCATGCCCGCAGGTCCCGATAGACAGGTTGAGAGTTCTCCTAGTATGCTATTAGCTCAGCGGAAGGCGTTTGTGCACTCCACTTGCTCCGGAGTTGCCTATTTGGTCAGTATGATTTGAATATGTATTGATTAGTATGGTGGGGCCCGATATCGACCTTTATGATATTTATGTACTCTTAGAGGCTTGTAGACATATGACATGTATATGGATACTTGTATGGCCTTATCGGTCTATGTCTTGAGTATACAAATGATCATGTCGGCCTTATATGCCCGTATGTTACATGTATAAGTTTCTATATCATGTTGGGTCGTCCTACGTCTAGTATTCCCTTATGTTTTATTCTCGTTATCTCATGATGGTCCTTCTGGCCCACTTACCTATGATGGTATGATAAGAAAGATATGTTACATTGGTACTTGGTTGTGTAAGGCACCAGGTGCCCGTCGCGGCCCTGCGGTTTGGGTCGTGACAAAAGTGGTATCAGAGCAGTTCTGTCCTAGGGAGTCTACAAGTCGTGTCTAGTAGAGTCATGTTTATGGGTGTGTTGTGCACCACACTTATAAGCAGGAGACGACATGGCATTTAGGACTGTCACTCTTTCTTCTTACTCTAGATAGTGTGGTAGAGCTCAGTTGTAAAAAATTTAAATTCCTAAATTCTATTTTATTCGTTATACAACGACATCTACATCCAGAAAGACAATTGGTAAGAGATTGAATGCGGCTGTGGAAGAGTTGAGTCAGAGGAACTCGATTTTGCGTCATGCTTATGATGAGTAAATGTAAGGCATTCAGTAGATATGTTTGTACTACGACGTGTGAGCCTCTTGATAAGGAGCCCTAAGGCATAAATATCTATCTACCCCTATGGTAAAAAGCAACGAGAGAATCAGAAGGTAGATACAAGTTTCAACAAGTAAAAGAAGCTAGGTGAAGAAGGATACGAGTTACCCAGTTAGTGAAGATTATCTGTATTTACAATTCAGGCAGAGAAATATAAGCATTCTGAGTTACTTTCAACAATAACAAAGATATATTCACTTGACAACACCCATCTCA